CGAATAGCATTGGCACTAATGAAGTTGTTAAAGGCATTAGCCAGCGGCCAGGAGAAGTTATCATTACTTTTGTCATTAGGGCACCGCATAAGGTTAAAGTCTCCCCCGATAACCATCGGTAAATTACAAGCATCGATCTTCAACGAAAGTTCATTAAGAAATAAAGGCGACAAGGAATGGTCCGCAGGCCCATAGACGATGATAAACTCACAAAGAGTATTCTGAGCTTTATGAGAGAGAACAACACTGGCCCAAAAGATTCCATGATCAAAAGCAACAAAATCAAAAATATCTTTATTGGAGCCTATCAAGATCCCGCCAGAGTGCCCCGAAGCAGGTAAAAAGTTCCAATTAAATCTGTCCATGCCCACAATAGCAGAAAAGTCATTAGGGGAGAAGGATTCCTTGAAGGTTTCTACCAGCCCCACAAAGTCAATAGAATTAGAACGAACCAGATCTTTAAGTTGGTCACGGCGCCCCCTAGCACTGAACCCCCTAATATTCTAGAATAACGCTCTCATTTATAAAAAAGATTCTTGATTCGAAGGCTCGACCTGCAAGGGGCCACGCAGGGTTTAGCACGCTTATTGGTGCCCCTTTTAGACAAGTTGGATTGGGGCTGGCCACTACCAGCGCCCGCGTCCACGACCGGACCACTACTAGAAGCCCCTACCTGAGAGGCAACGGCCTCTTTGGCTTTGGCAATGGCAGCCTGAGCCATCTCATTAGCCCGAATAATAGCAAGAAGAGAACCAGGAGAACCAACAGACGAATCAACCACCACCCCCACATCCGACATAATATTTAGAAGATGATCATCCGAAAGAGAAGGTAGAACCAACCGAACCGGAGAAGCAACAACAGAGGGAACGGGAGATGTACCTGGGGGAGGGAGATCCTTCGCCGCAGCCCGCTTTTCAGCCCGCTCCAGGACAGAAACACCTGAATTCGCCACCCGCCTTCCTTTGCGAGCCGTGGACACAGGGATCGAATCGCAGGCGACCGCGCAGCAGGAGAGCCAACATGGGGACCCGAATGGGACATAGATCACAAATCTTGATCAAGACGCCAACAAACCCCCGTCATGGAGTGCTTTGAGCCCGACGAGTTCCGACTCTTAGCCGAGAATTTATGCACTGAGGATTTCTTCTTCCGGAGGGACTGGGATTCCACCACATCGCGAGCCGGGGAGGCCAGAAGATCTTCAATTCCCGATCGAGAGGGGGAGAGCGGACGGACAGGAAGATTGGAGCAAGCACCAGAAACGGGGGTAGCAGAGCAGGGCGGGAACTTCGACATATCAGCACCAGCAGCAGGGACATTGGGAGCAGCAGACGGGATGACCGAATCATCACGAGGAGCAACACCAGAGGGAGCTTGGGATTGAAACAACTCACGTTCAGAATCTGCCAAACCATCCCATTCAGATTGGGTGAAGCGGAGGTTAGACCCATGGCTCTGATTAGGGCCACCCAGAGATCCGTCCCCCTCCTTATCATGCTTGTCCGAAGGGTTAGAAGGGGGAGGAGGGGGAGGTGGAGTCTGAAGAGCAGCCGCCCCCTCCACCCGCACCCGAAGCTTAATACCATTGGGAGAAGGGAAGATATCAATCGAGCCATGAACCCGTTCAGGATCCACACACCAAACCTTCATCCTAGCAGGGCCAACCTTGTTCAGAGAGTCTTCATCCACCTCGATGGGCTTCCCAATCAGAACCCCGAAAGACATGAGAAAAGCAGACAAACGGAGACCAGCAGGCAAATCGTCAATCAAAACCCAGACTTGAGAGAGAGGACCAACTGCCGTACCACTGCAAGAAGCCGCTTTAACAGAAACCACCAATTGATTGAGGGGCAAGGTGAAGCTAGTGCATGAGGCAATCATCCGCAAACATTCTTTGGAGGGAAACACCACAAAGAACTGAAATTCAGATAACTGCACAACTTGCCAGTCCCATCCAGCCTCATCCCAAATGCGAAGCCCTTCCAGAAGAATTTGGGGCAAAATCTTTTGATCCTTGACCGTAACAATCGCAGCATTAGACAGAGCAGGTGCCACCTCCCGGACAGGCAGGTCACCGTCGAAGGCAAAAAGGCGCAACCGGGGAGGCCCGAGCCGAACTGGATGACCGCGGGAGGTTTCTTCCTAGCCATGCAGTTGACCGTGAGGTGACCATCGGAGCGACAGATTAGTTAAAAAGGAGGGTTGGTGCAGCGAGACTGGAAATGGCCAGGCCTGTGACAAGCGAAGCAGGTGAGCGCCGAGGGGTTGTTATGGGAAGCAGAGGACGAGCAAGATTGTGGAAGCGACGGAGGAGGAGGAAGGATCCCATCCCCCATCCCCGGAAAAGGGGGCGCCCCAGAGGCCGGACCGGGCGGCCGACGCGCCGGCCCCGCGAAGGACTGAGGCGGCGGACGAGCACCAGCACCAACCCCAACCGAGCGAGGAGGAGGAGGAGGGCGCGACGGAGCAGATGGACCGCGGCCCACTCCCGGAGCAGGGAGGGAGGCAGAAGACGAAGAAACACCACCGCCAGAGGCCGCCGCTGCCTCCCACGGGTCCAACACCGGAGAGAGAGAATGGCCAGATCCAGAGCCCTGCGGGCCGGATCCGAGCACACCAACCCTCTCTGAGCGTTGCGACCACTCCGGACCCGAAGCCCGAGCCTCGCGGTCACGAGCCACCTGCTCGCGCGCCGCCTGTTCCGCCTCCAACTTGGAACGGAGCGAAGCCTCGAGCTCCAAATCCACCGCGGAGGAAGGGGAGTCCTCACGGCGTCGCTTGCTGCCTGAGAGCGCCTCGCAGGAAGAGCCCTGCGACTTGTCCATGGATAGCACCACATCAAAAGAAAGGAGGAGGGGTGGAGGTGGGGAGGATCTAATGAGGCGACGAATGGGAAGACGGTGACGGCGCAGATCGGAAGCGGAAGCCGGAAACCCTAGCAAAGGGGAGGAAGAGCCGCGGGGGATCCATAAATAGCCCGTCCGAGCCGTGCCCACCTGGGCCCGACTCGCCACATGGGCCAAAGAAGGTTGAGGAGCAGGAACCCGAACGATGGGCCCAACTGGGCCAGATGGGACCAGAGGGGGGAAATCTGCCACCGGCGAAAGAGGGGGAGGAGAAGCAGGCCCACTGGGCAACGGCAAACCGCAAGGCCCATCAAGCCCACCCGAGGGGACGTCCCGCGGCCTGATGGCCACCGTGGAGAAATCGAGATCTAGGTTACACGATGCCACCAGCGACCCCGCCGTCGCCGCCGCCGGCGACGAGGCCGCCGCAGAGGCTGCAGGAGAGGGGGATGGGAGGCCACCAAGCTCCCCATCAGGCGCACTGCCCAGGACAACGAGATCAGGTGATGCAACAGCAAACTTACCAGACTTACGCCGCCGCCGAGAGATCCGAATCCAGCCATCGACCGACGAGGACGCGGCCACCGACCGGCCCCGGCCACCAGGAGTGAACTTGCGGGGACGAGGAGCGGCGGAAGGCACCACCACCCCCCCAGCACAAGGCACGGTACCACAGGGGGAAGGGACCGACGACCGCGAATCCTCCTCATCAGACGCAAGGGCCCAGAAACGAGATCCGAGCACCGGCAGCGGTGAAGACAGAGGCGAGAACCCCACCCGCGGGGAGCCAGGGGAGGGGAGAGAGAGAGCACCTGCAAGCGGAGAGGGGGATGACCGGGCACCGGCTAGGGCAAGGAGGGGAGGAGGGGGAGGAGGAGGAGGCGAGGGAGAAGGGAGGGAGGGGATCCATCCGAAAGCTGCCTATCAGATCTGAACACCGTCAAAGGAGGGGTGGAGGTCTGAACACCTTCTAGTCATTGACAGGCGGGGCCTGCTTCTCATTTGCCACATCAGCCGGTCAATATTTTTTGTCTTTGCCACGTCAGCCCGACAGGTGGAGCCAACTTGTCAGTTTCACTATCTTCGCGGGCTTATCAGACAATCACTGCTCTCTGTTATAGATTAGGCGCGAAATTGACGGTTTTTTGTGCCCTGACTTAAATTTGGTACTAAGTTGTTACCCTAACCCAAGTGTGATGGTTTTGAGTAAACAACTCTATTCTGGTTGCAAATATTTCTGCAACATTACCTTTGTTGCAAAGATTTTTCAAAAGAAAAATAAACGCTCGGTAATTGCACCAAGCATCCTATTGCAGAAGGTCTTTTGCAACACCACTCTTGTTGCAAAAGAGTAGCTACTTCGTGGGTAGATCGAACAATCAAAGCGTGTCCATCCAACAGTCAGTGAGGCGGCGGATATTTTCTCGTTATCTGCCGGTCGACGTGTGGGGTAGTGTCGTCCAAATTTTATGGTTATTCAACTGAATACAATGGAGTTAGATGGGTCCATCCCACTGTATGGCTCCAGTGGGAAAACAATAGAGAAAGTTTTCGTAAACAGAAGTGAACGATGGTGCAATTTAAAATCTTACTGGTGTATACAGCAATTACGCACAATCCATATTCCTCATGCATCAAAACAAGAATAAAACATCAAAGTAAATATATTACTCCTTATTAGTACACGCAACGCATGCATAAATATACGCGCGGGCATGTTATTAGACGTAGCACTCGTAGAGTTTGATGTCCATCTGGATACGGGTGTAGGTGGTGCCCTCGTAGGCGTCAAGGCGGATGGTGGTGATGCCGCGCGCCATGAAGAAGTCGCCGGTGCCGCCGACGACGGTGAGGTCGTGCGTCTCCTCCTCCATGAGGTCGGCGCCGACGAGGTTGAGGGTGTCCTTGTGCGCCGGGGAGTCGAACACGATGGAGAAGCCGAACCAGCCGTTGTACCCGTCCTTCTTGTTGTAGAAGTAGAAGCCCTGCCCGCGCGCCGCGGGCTCCTCGCCGGCGACGGGGAGCGCCTCCCCCGTCGTCATCGGGTCGTCGAACACCACCAGCAGGGCCGGTCCTGAGAATTTGGGGGCCCGGGGCGAAGCTAAAACTCGGGGGCCCTTACTATAATCATCATAACAATAATAATCTATATATATGTAATATTCACATTACCAATAAACACTTAGATGCATCCAAACTTCCAAAGTAATATTCATATCAACTAATTTATTAATAGTGGAAAAATCCATGGCCTCACTCACCAGGCTCACATCATGAACCATTTCGAATGATAGCAATGCCCACATCTTTCTTAACAAGTGTGCGCCACCAATAGTACTCCTCTACAACACTAAGAAGCTTTGCTTTTGGGTGGCCGTGGGGCTAAGAAATTAGGGACACTCGTACCAGGAGAGTAATACCTTTGATGTAACAAGGGGTGTCACTGTAACACGAAACTCTCTTTTCCTAATTAAACTTGAGGAAAGTATTTTTATTTTGCATCTGGTTCAAGAAGAAATAGTGAAAAAGCTATAAGCTTTTATGGAATTGTTCAACGCATGTATTACCTTGAAAATTTGATCTAATAATCCCTCTTTGTGATTCTGCTAAGTCAGCCATATGTTGCTTCATTTTCTTTTCTTTTTGCTAACGTATATTGTCAGGACCACATGATAACCCATCTGTCCTAATCCTCCTTTTCACATCATAAATCATTTTTTTGTAAACTAGTCACAGACTAACATTTTATCAAGATTAGAGCAACCTCAGGTAGAATCAAACTGCAACAAACCTAATTATAAACAATCAATTTCCTCATAACACACAGTGCTGAAAAATAAAAAATGCATCAAAGATTGAATAGTGAAAGCTATGCATCATATGCAAAAGTGAATTGCTTGATTAGCTATATACATACAGGAAATAGAAAATAATTGTATTAAATACCTTCAATCAATCGGATCGGCATCGGTAATTGTTGATCTGGTGCTCGGCGGGATGCGATGTGGCTGGCGTCTGGCGGAAGCCGCTCGGCGATGCACGTATGCGTTCAGCGCCTAGTGATAGCAGAGAATGGAGTTCCTCAGCATACGCGTACTGCGGCAGAACGGCAGTCAGCCCTAGCACCTGGCGGCGGCGCCGATTCGGTACAGCCTCCAGCGCCTGCGCCTCGCGATGGGGAGGGATCTAGTCTAGCGGTAGTAAATAGCCAAAACGCGAACTCGCAATGTGAAAGGAAATTGCGGATTAAAAGGGTTGTGGATTCGTGCCTCTTGGACCGGTGCTACCTGCATGCGATCGTGCTTGCCTTGCATAGCGATACGTACATGGGCTACTCATGTCTCAGAAAAACCTTGTACATGTTAGTACCTGACGGGGCCCCTGTATTTTGGGGGCCCGGGGCGGCCGCCCCCCCTGCCCCTCCTCAGGGCCGGTCCACCAGCAGGCCGAAGAAGGTGCCGTTCTTCCAGCTGGCCGTGCTCAGCGCCGTCGGCTTGGTCGCCCCCGCGGACGTCGCGTTGGCCGTGTTGTTGCCGCCGTCGTAGAGGATGTCGTGCCAGTAGAGCGTCATCTTCATGCACGGCTCGTCGGAGGTGCTGGAGACGAGCCTCCTGCGGCCGTGGGCGGCCGCAGCACCCGCCAGGCCGAGCAGGAGCATCATCGCGAGCACGATCTTGGAGGATGCCACCGCGAGGCCTTGCATTGTTGTTGTCAGTGCAATGTGAAGTGAGCAGCTTGTGACCTCGTGCTGGCTGCGCTGCTGTAGTTGTGTGTGTACAGAGGTGACCTGAGTGGACTATTTATATAGCAGGAATCGATCGCCACTATAATTGGATTGGTTCAGGTGAAATCAGGGGTGAAATGGACGCAAGTGAGCGACCAGAAAGGCGAGCGTGCATGCACGGTTGGTACGCCGGCGTAGCATTTTATATATCCTAGCTTATTAATTTTTGTTGCAGCGTGAATGATGCTAGTACACAAATTTACTGACAAAATATCATGTATTGGTCTGATCTCCTTATCACCTTTAACCTAACAAACCCTACTTAATTTGCCATGCAACTGGATATACTGAGATTTGGTGAATTCTCAGTAGACGATTGCATAACAATTAAAGAATGCATATACTAACTTCTTTTTTGTTATGAAAGCTAGCTTTTGTAAACCTTACCACTGTACCGAGAAGATACAACCAGGGTCGTCTCCAGCAATTTGGGGGCCTGGGACAAAAATACAAATTAAGGTCCTAAAATTTTAAAATTTCATATACTAAAGAACAATTAAAAAATAGCTATGCAAGAAACACCTCATGCGAAAGCATAGAAAATATGCTTAGCGATCGAACAAACTAGATAAGACAAGACAAAAAAATACAAATAGTATAAAATAAATAGTATAAAACTACTACTTTACATGATAGGATTGCAAAAAACTATCAATTTTTAATTTTTCTCAGATAACTACCAAATGAGTGGTCGGCTGTTTCAAAAAACCCAAATCTCCGAGTGCTTATCTATTGACCGTGATTATGACAGGTCGGACCCACACCTAAACGAAACGTTAGTTTGACCTTTAACTGACATGTGGGGCCCACATGCAAGTGTCTCTTCTCATCTAGTCATCTTCTCCTCTCTACCTCCCTTCTTCGTGTTGGGCTGCTGCTGAATGCGTGTTGTGGATCAGTTCTGGGAGAGTGCCTGATGATGGGGTTATTGCTTTGTTGAGTGCTCACTTCGTATTGGAGTACTATCTCTTTGAAACAAGAGCCTGCTCCACTGCTGGAGAGTTGCGTCGATGGCCCGACCATTCGGACCTGAGATCTTCCTGAAGAAAGAGGGCATCATGATGGAGGACACTGCCGACGGCGGGTACCAGAAGCGGTTAGATTCATCAGCTGTGTTAGTTTGGCATGTTTAGGTTCTTTTCAGAATTTTGGCCAAGAGCTAGCTAGCTAGCTAGCTCGCTGTGTTTGATTTTTGTTGTGGAACTTTTTACACTTGATTTGGTATTGCCAAAGTTGCCAGTAACTGTATTGAACTCATCAGCTGTATTGAACTCATGAGCTACTGTTGAAATTGATGTCAATTACTCTGTGTTGTACCTAATCTTTCGTGGAATTTTCAATGCAATGAATTCTGGAGGGATCGAGATTACATGGTCTTTTTTGTTTGTCTTTTTGTTGTAGATTGAATTGATGTATGATTTTCTACTAGTTTATCATCTTTACTTGTTCATATATGGAAACAAAAACAAGTGAATTTGCAGCAGAGTAGCACCAGTGCATTGACATCCACGATCCATCCCTTCATCGACTAAAGAAAAGAACAAAGTGCTTTATTCCACTAAGGTGATTGAATACTAAAAAAGGGAGGAGAAGAAGAAGAAAATACTACTATTTTTGTTTTATATAAAAGCAGTTACCACGCCAATGAGTTTTTTTTTAGAACACCACGCCAATGAGTTGAAACTTGAGACTAATAAAACTCTTCTTTTGCTTTATAACTGAGTTGTTAAATTAAACAATCATTCATCCAAATTTGGTTTATGATGATTTCCAGAAATTGCATGCCAAACGGAGATGGATTGATAAAGAAAATACTACCACAAGAATAAATTAGATTTGAATTTGTTTAGTCATGAAAGAAACACGCAACAAAAGAACTAGGAAGACCTCGTTCAAGTGAGAGTTGCACTTATAAGCACGTCATGTCATCAGCACCTCGCGTCTCCGAGTTACCACTAGTAAGCTAGTGATGTGTACAGTAAGCTAGTGATCTTTCACAGTAAGCTAGTGCATGTATTGTGGTGCAGAATATATAGATATGTCCAGACTTAGGCCATGCAGCGAGGCACACCTAAAAATCCACCTAGATTTAGGTAAAAGTACAGGAAATCCGCCTAGATTTAGGTAGAAAATGGCGTAACTCGTCGTTTTCTCAAAAACCTTCCATCTGCCTGATATGAGGCAGGATTCAGGCATGTTTCCCAACTGAGGCTCAGTCTTAGGCCAGTTTTCCCTGTGTGAGGCAGGTGCCCTTTCTTTCTGTATGAACCAAAGAAGTTGTAACTGCGGTTGCATATTCCCAATTCACTCGCCCTCCGTATTTTAGTGAATTATTTTGAAACATCCTTCAAAATGTCTGCAATGACACCTTTGGCATTTAGTTCGGCTCATACAAAAAAACTATATCCAAAAAGGATTTCTCTTAGATTTATTTTTGAACGGAAGGATTTCTCCCATATGTCATCTTAACAATTGGACAGGTAACTGCACAAATACAAATTAACCAAGCACCAAGCACGCACATGCTCGTATAATGTTTAAGAACCGTACCCACCTTATTCAAACGGTTATAGTAGTGTTTTGGATATAAATGTCATTAAACGACAATGCCAACCAAACATGGATACCCACATCTTCTCTCATACTAATATCTAGCAAGCCTTCGAGCCTTGTTATGACATCAGCCAATCATTCATATATACTGCTAAAAAACCAAGTCTTTTTTTTTGCGGAACAAAATGATATGGACACAGTATATCTCGGGAGACCTTTTTTTTGAGTTGTATCTCGGGAGACCTGAATCCGGCATGCTGTTGGGTTAGGACATCAAGTCTGACTCTTAACAACAACATGTCAACCTGGAAGTATACTTATGTACATACGCTTAGAGCATCTTCAACAGACGCCCAAAAAAAGCTCCGCACATTAAAAGTTTATTTTTTTGAGCGCCGGGCAGCTCCAGCAGAAGCTGTAGCGCTAAAAGTTTTTGGGCGCGCGCTGAAAAACGCTATCGCGCGCTTCACAATTTGCACTGTCTGCTTTTTGAACGCGCGTTTTTGGACGCCTGCTAAAGCAAAGTTGGTACCGGCGCATTAAAAGTGCTATAGTGGCGCGCTATAACGTTTATTGGGCGCGGAATTTTTGTGCGGCCGTTGGAGATGCTCTAGGCTTAGGGCCTGCAAATCAACGCGTCAAACCGTTCGCAAATTATTCGCAGGCACAACGTCGGATCGACGGAGGACACGACGCCGGCGCTGGCGCCTGACGATGGCCGTCTCGCTCCCAGACGACGTCCTCTACAACCTTTGTGTATTCAAATTATACAACCACAGTAGCCCTCGCAAATGCTAGAGAGGGCATCACTTTTGTGTATTCAAATTATAGTTCATGTTATAGGTGTGGTAGTTATTTCCGAGGGCATTCTACAACCAGTTTCGGAGGATCAAAGCAGTAGTATATGGTGTAGTATTGCTCTTAATCTGTGGCAGTGTAATGAAATTGACTTGGTAACAACACTTGAAAATAATTTAATCTTGCTACATGAGGACAGAACAGAGTTTCTAACCTTGTTAAGCAGCAGTTGTACACAAACGCTGCCACTGCTGCAAATCAAAATAGTAACTCGGCTTTTTTGCCCTAAAGAATGATTCATGATCACAATGACATCATTTTGCATGGTTAGTACTATTTAGATTATGTATACAGTATAGTACTTTAAATTTAAGCCAGTTATGCTTCAAGCAATAATGACTATACAGTTGTAATCGATCACCTGTATAGTTGAAATATATAACATGAACTTTCCACAGAGTGAATTGTCTGGTTTTCATGTTTCTATCACTGGAAGCACACGGATTTGTTGTGTTTACTTCTCCGATGAAAGTGTCATGCTTTCCATTTTAATGTATCTTATCAGGAACCTGCACTATATGTGCATGATATGTGTTCTGCCCATCATGGTCGTTTTCAATTCAAAGTTGAAATTTATCTCCTACTTGAGAAAGTTGTTCGGCCTATATTATGCTCATGTTTCTTGGATATCATGGTTATCATCTTGCCATTTGCTGGTATGAATGATTTGTGTTGCTGCATCATAGAATGTGTTTGTGGTCTATCTGATTCATCGCATGCACTCCTTGCTCATCTGTAAGAGAACTCATTATATGTTCCAAACGGTATCTTTT